TCCGAAGCACTGGGGCGCGGGCCTGAGAGACAGCAACACCTGTTTCCGCAATCGGCCTCCTCGTCATCTCGGTGTTGCTGCTCGACCCCGGCCAGGGTCCCCAGTCAAGCCGGCGGGCCGCGCCCCCACGGGGACGTACCGCTCACGCCCCCACGCCAGCCCGGACCGCCGGCGGATGGTGTCAGCGCTCACGGGCCCCTTTGACCCGACCACGGCCTCCGACAGCCTACCGCGGCCATGGAGCCCGCCGCCCACAGGCAACCTCCGGCGGCCGGGCCCGCACGGCCCCGCGGCCGCCGCCCTGCGCCGCACGCACACGTTCAACAGCGGCGAGGGCCGGGGTGACAGTCCCCGCGGCCGCCACGCCCCGGCCCAGCACGGACTTGGCGCACCTCCTCGCCTACGGGGGCACAGACAGGACTGCGCCCCCCGTGCCCTAGGCGGGGGCCCCCGGACGCCTCCGCTGTGCCAGCCACGGGAACAGGAGCGAGAGACCCGGCCCAACGCCGAGTGGGGTGCTCCAGACCACCCCCCCCAGTGCGCAGGGGAGGGGCCTCCGCCACAGGAAGCACAAAGGCCTGGCCCCCCACCCTGCCGGGGCCGCGGGACATGAGGCGGTTTGGGGGGCGGGAGGATGTGCTATAGATTTGAGGTTGACCTTCTGTGCGTGGGTTTGGGTTTGTTTCCAATTTGCGGTTGTTGTTTTTTTTGCAGTTTTCTACCCAATTGCACAACTCCGTTCTTGGGGTGGCGGCCCAGGGCTTGGAGGGGGCGGGATGAGGAGGGGGCCACAGCTGCAGACCCAAGTGCCCCCCCTCCAGGCCCCTCCTTGACCTAGGCTCCTGGCGTGCGTGAGTGTGTGTATGTGTGTGTGTGTGTGTGCATGCCGTGTTCGTGTGCAAGGGGCCGGGAAGGGGAGGGAGGTGTGCGTGTGAATGCCCACGAGGGCTGCTGCCGGCGTGTGCGTGGCGATGGGCACTCATGCAGGGTGTGTGTCTGTGTGTGAGTGCGGCGGCCCCAGAGGCCTGGGCGTTTGGCTGAGCCAACACAAGGGGCTTCCAGAAGGCCAGGGGGGCCTCCAACTGCCGGTCAGGAATTTGAGGGGAGACAGAGAAGGGGTTTCAGGGGCAGAGGCCAAGAGGGCCTGCCCATATGCCACACTGGGCAGCAGCTGAGTAAACGTGTTGGGGGGGGCAGCAAAGTGGGTGGGGCCCCC